TCGTAATTTTCAATTTTACGTAATACAACCTGCACCTAGCCTTTGCTCACGACACGTCACCCAGGCTGTGGCCAATTTGCCACAACTTGGCTCAAGTTTTTCCATGACATGACCGCAACATCATCCAGGTCCAATGGGTTAATTCTTCAAGAAGACGAGTATTTCAAGATACAACAACCCAGTAAAGCATTGAAAACCCCAACACAGTAAGAAAGAGGAAACACAATGTCCAGTGTTTCAAGTCTTTAAGCAGGAACTGAAAAAAGAATGTCATCAAAGGCATTTTTTCATGTTCCCATTTGACGACTTCAGACATCTTGTTCAGTTCAAACATTGCAGACTTCCTGTTACCTTTCTTGCTGTAAATGTAAGGCTCAAGCCCAGCCACCCACCTCTTCCCCAGCAATGACAATCTCCACAGTGGTCTCCTGGCCCTGTGCATCTTTGCTCAGACACGCAAGGAAATGGCGCACAATAAACTCGTATAGCCTCTTTTCATTGCCCTGTAGGTTACTTGCATACTTGGTGGGGTGGATGGGGGGATGGGCCTGGTCAGACTTTCTGCCCTGGCGTGGGTTAGGCCCTTCCTCCAACACCCTGCCAGCAAAACCTGTTGGCAGAGGGTGCCTGATTATTTTTCATAGTAGAGTTAAAAAGCCTCAGCAAAGCCTGTTAGCTGAAGCTAACATGATTTATTTCTTATACAATCACAACCATTATCAATGTTGTGATTATTATTGGCAATACCAGAAAAAAAAACCTTTTTCCTATTCAAGGAATGTGGAAAAGTTGGGATAGTTATTGACTCCTTGGTGATTAAGCACCTATGGAGCCATTTATGTGTAAGGAAAACTAATAAACTAAAGCCTCAGTGGACAGGCTCAAGTAAATATAAATTCTTTGTCTCTACAAAATCATAGGTAATTTCTTTGCTGTTGTGTGCCAAAATATTACATTTACATATTCCACTCACCTCCCCACTCTTGATCTTGGCACTGCATCTCAACTAAAGGTACAAGATTTAGTTCTTTAGGGAAAATGTTGGTCTCTGTGCGGGGGTAACTGATGAAACCTTGGGTATAGAGTTTCTCAGCAACTTTCATTGTCTCCTTGGCATTTATGCGTAGTTTTCGTGATGCCAGCTTCTCAAGCTCCTGTTGAGTACAAAGAATGTAATTTCCATCTTTTTTTTCTTTTTTTTTTAAGTGTAAAGTACTGAGCCTATCAAAAAGATGTGATTTTATCATCCCACTGACAATAGGATGGTAGGTATAGATGCCATGTTCACTTTGATTTTAGCTAATTAACCCCTTGACTGCAGCCATTCACTTGTACACATCTTATATAGCAAAATTATATAAGTGCTAATCTGAAGAAAGTTTTCCTATTTATAATTGGAAATTAGAGTATAGATATCATGTTTGATGTAAAAATGCTAAAAAAGGCAACTTAATATAAAAATGTGGCTTTATAAGTGTAGCCACACATGGCATATAGACCCATTACCCTGGAACACAGGGAAATATTTCTAAGGCCATGGACTGTAGCAGCTTAACACATTATGAATGATGGTTTGAAACTGTGACCATAGTCGCCTAAAGCGATCAAAGCGTTAATTTAGTTTACACTCAGATGGTTTCAAATGTGCTTGCCAAGGAGATAATTATCATGCCTATCTAATCTCACCCTTTAATAAATTCCAAGAATTTTCAAAAAGTAGTTTTTATTTACTATATTATTTGTATTAATCATATCATAACAATAATAATATCAACAATATTATCAAAACTAATGACAATGATAATAGTATTAAAAAAAAAAAAAAGATCATAAACATTCAGGGAAGGGGATAAACAGATGAGGTCAGGTAAGCCTAATAAATGCCTCCTGGGTGATGAAACACTTGTAAATCTATCTATGTGTAAACAAAATTGGCAAAACAACACTACAGGGGACATTATATGTACCAGAAAGTCTATCATTCATTAATATACAGAATATCTTTATCCCTGCTACACTCTTCAATATACTCTTTTCTGCATCATCATCATCTTTAAAAAAGAAAAAAAAAAAGTCAAATCTCTATGTCTACTTTCCCCTGCATTCACCATGCAAATCATAATGTATCATCAGCATCTTCAAGGCTTGCAAAAACTCACCACTGTGTCAAGAGGCAGTGGTCGCCACTTGCTCTTGCGTTTGGTCGTAATTTTCGTCACTCGTGCTTGGGGATTCTCCTGACACATTTCAAAAAGCACTTGGCAAGCCAGCTCATCAAACAGCCGGACACGTCCCCAAGCAAAGTCTATCACTCCCTCTTCTCCATTATGACTGACTGCCACATGAAGAGAATGGTGAATGGTTAATGGTTAATGGATAACAAATAAATGCAATAAACATATCAAAGGTCATATTGCACTATGGTAAAGTATTATGGTGAAAAGGGTAAATATGAATTAATTATCCAAATAAAATGTGTTAAATATCATGGGTCATACTGCACTGTAGAATAGTATGGTAGTGAAAAGGGGGAAGAGGGGGAGCAAATGGGAAAGAAGGGTTAAGAGTGACGGGCAATTATATCATCAAATGGAAAGTATCTATATGTATGAGAAAGAAGAAAAAGGTGTCAAGTGAAAAAGTAAGGATGTCCAACAGGTTGGAGGGTCGGGGAAGAGAGGACAAGTGAGGAAAAGTAGAGGCTACAGTAAGGGAGTGCTAGGACAATATAATGTGTGGGACTGAAAGAGGAGCCCTTATGAAGTAATCAACAGGTAAAAATGGTAGAAATGGGTGTCAGAGAAGTAGGAGCAGGAGAACTCAGAAGGACAGTGTTTGACAAAAGGGAATCACATGAGCATCCAGGAAGGAGCAAAAGGGGGGTTGCAGATGGAGAAATATAGGATGAGGTGTGTTGGGTGGGTGGGAGGAAGAAGGGTAGGGGGGACATGGAGAGGACAAGGAATGATGTAAATGATGTAAGGAGTCGGTCTGAATAAAGAGGGAATGGGAGGAGAGAGATTGGAAGGTGAATAAGGGAGAGGATTGTTCTCTTGGGTAATGTTTAGAGTTTTGAATGTCCTCATGAATTTATGGTGGGGAGTGGGTAGGGAGGTGTGAGAAACAAAAGTATTCTTTTATGAGGAAAAGAGAAGTCAGACTTTCAAGGAGCAGAGGAAGAAGTAGGTGTAGGAGCGAATGTGGTATATGACGGTCTGGTGCAACAAGAAAAGTGAATAGGAGGGGCAGTCACTGGGGAATGGTATTCTTTCTGTCTTAGCTCACATAGAGTGAGGCCAAGATGGAATCTGAGAACTGCTACCTCAGACTCAAACTTGTTGGTAGGACAACTAAATTAATATAAAGTACATTATGGAGCCACCACAACTGGTATACATGCCTGATTGTGCAAAGTAATTTCAACAGTCATGACCAGGTTGGACACACAGAGGCCAGCAGACTGTGGAGCAACAGTGGCAGAATTGCCAAAACACCAACATTTCTAGCACTGACAGGGGAGGAGAGGTTTATTTGGTCAGACAGGGCAGGACACTCACTTCATGAGGAAGGTCATGTCTACAAAAGGTAATCTTTGCAATATTGGTGTAGGGCTTTTGGCAGCCTTTGGGGGAATAGTGTAGGACTGAGGCAAGCAAGAAGGTAATTTTCAGAGTCCAACCAATACTTGCCACAGACAGTGCAATCTGTCAGGGAGATGGAAACAGGGCGCAGCTCAAGTATTAAGGAAGGAGTGAAGTTGGACAGGAATAGGTTAGCCAAGTGAGATCAGTCACAGTAGATAACACACAAGTTTGGGACTCAACTGTAACTGTGACAGGGCTTGAACAATCAGAATGGCAAGGACAGGAGGAGGAGATGGTCTGCAGTGAAGTAGTTCTGCAGGGAGAAGGACAATAAGGATGAAGCACAGTAATATGGGAGGAGGGGGCAGACAAATAAGAAGGCTGTAGAGGAGACGATGGAGTGGAGAATGTTGGGAGAGAGAAAGGGGTGTATTCTGAAGGTTGAGTAAGGGCATGGGTGGATGATTCAGAATATATTAAGTTGACAACAAGGATTGAGGAGAAAGCAGGTGTAGCAGTGGTCGGAGCCTTGATCAAAGGAATGTCAGGGGTCGAGAAATCTGAGATGTTAAGTTCGGGGAGGCTTGTTGCTAAAGGGGTAAGCATTAATGCCCCTAATATTGGCTATGGGGAGACTGAAATATGTGGGCAAGAGAAACAGTCTATCCCTGAGGGTCCCCATGAGGGCTAAGGGCTAGATGACTAACCAAGGGTATACAGTGCCCATGGCGCTAATGAACGTCCCACTCAACATACCTTTAATCTTCCAAAATTGTTCAGGTATAAATGCTTGAATGGCCTTGTAACGCTCTACCACAAAACCAAGTGTCGGGAACTGGCAAGATCCGTAACTTATGAGTGTATCAGCCAAAGCCTGCGGGAAAACCTTCTGCAGGCGGAGTGTTTGGAAACGTGTAAAGGCTGCTCCTGTGGGATGAATTCAGGAAGTAGTAGTTGTAGTGTTTTTTTTCCCCTAAGAATTGCATATATTCAATCTATCCAATGCAAACAGATAGCAATTAATATTCATTTTCCAATAATTTCTCATCTAACTCACTACATGAGTTCTAACATCAAATTAAAAAAAAAATCAAATGAAAATCTAAGAAATATATTTCATTTCACTAATCATACCTACAATTGAAAAGATGATCTTACAAATCTGGAAAATTCTACTACTCAAGAATCTTTCTTTAAGCTACGTCCTATTATTTATAAGATTCATTACAGCAAAATGAATCTTCACAATAGTATCCCAGTTCACAGCCTGCATCTAATGTATGCATGTGTGTGAGTTTGCGTACGAGTGCATGTAAAAAAACTTACCAATGCGCAAGTCAAGCTCACTGCGCACATCTACAGCATCACTCTGCTTTCTGTCAGGCGGCCCAAGGGACTGCAAAGCCCTCTGGACTGACTGAAACGTGATCTCTGAGAACTTGGCCCTGAAATGTTTTTTTGAATATTATGGAATGATCCAAAAAAGTATCCCCATCTCTTAAAACAGAGCCCAGAAAGCCAGGCAATATCCTCATTTATTATCTCCTGTATAAAAGAGACATTAAGAGATACATATTTTACTAGGGTGAAAGGAAAGATAATATTAGCATGTTGAATGCTTCAGTGTTCTTTTTATATACATATTTGAGGTTCTCAAGGTATCCATTAAAATGGTTAATACATGCAAAACTCATTACTGTAAAATGTAACAAAAAACGCTTCAGTATAATTTCATGCTGTGAAAATCATATAAGGTTAATAAGTATGGAAAAAAGATAAACTTTTGCATGTGACCTCCTTGAGGATCAGTTTTCAAGTGATTCAAGAAGCAAAATATCTATAATACTATTAAAGAAATTCAGAAAAGAAGTATTTTTCAATTCCCTTGCTTTCTTCAAAGTGAATTGAAACCAGCTATCATAAGTCTAAACTGCTTATTCTTGTCGTCTCTACATTCTTCTTACAAACTGCCTGTAAATTATGTTATTTATCCACTCCTATTCATGTGTCTTATTTTCAGATTGTTTGTGCATAAACAGTCAAGTTTACTGTAGGTTTTCACACATTCTTTTGACATAGGTAATATACCATGAACCTTACAAACTGCCATTTTGTATAAACTAATCCTATTTTCATTAAAACATCAAGGTCACATAGCAAACACAAAGCTATTCATTACTTTTGATGAAGAATAAAACAAGTAACCTGTCTCAATTCACCTCACAACATGTTTCCCTTCACCTTAGTATTCTCAAAGTCCCAGTGAATATATTTTATTGTACAAAAAGAAACTGATATAAACATCAACTCGTGTTTCATTTCCCCATATTCATCTACAATGTAACCTTCCTAGCTCTTGGGGTTTCAAGTGAAGAAGCAAACAGTTAATACTTGTTTCATGTTGACATACTCAAGGTTGCTGTCTCTCTCCTCTTTTCCCTTCCAACTGATTCAGAAAAAGATTCGACCACACTGTTGCCTTACCTCAAAACATGGAGAGAAGGCTTCACAGCTTTGCATACTTCAATGACTTCATACCCAATGTTCTCCCCTTCACGATCACAATCTGTCCAGATTATCAGGCGTGTTGCAGCTCTAGCTTCCTTCTCCAGGGTACGCTGAAATCATTTTCACTTCATTATACTATATTGTCTATGAGAGATAATGGAATGGTCGATAAATTTTAGTTGTAGGTTGTGCTAATTATGCTAGGTTCCCACTGTCCCACACACAAACCTTGATGGGCTCCATGTCCTGTGTACAGATCTTGACAACTGGCGCATCAAAGAGGTGCAGTGGGTTGCAACTAGTCCACTTGCGGTAGTGCCCTGTGAACGACTGGTTGAGGAGATGGCCCGATACAGAGGTCATGACCATATGGCACTGTTCTCCCCGTAGCATCATGTCCCATTCATAGATCTTGTTAAATTTGCTATAGCCCTCCCGCTGTTGGGAAAAGGAGGAACGGTGCTGCCTGAATAAAATAATTTAGTTATTTTTATCATATATGTAAAATCTTCAGTGTGTTGGGGGAGGGATGAGAAAGAGATACTGAGAGGGAATGAGGAAGGGAGGAAATAAGGACTATTTGAGATAAAGGAGAGAGGGAATAATAGGCCAGGAGACAGAAAGGTTGGGAAGCAACAAAGTAAAGAAAAAAGGTAGGGAGGAAACAGAGAAGAAAATGAAATGGGGAACAAAGAATGGATAGATGAAGGGAAAGCAGGAAAAAGGAGGAGGGGAGAGAAGAAAGAAGGGAAGGGAGAGAGAGGAAAGGAAGGACAGGATAGAGGAAAAAAAGGAAGGTGGAAAAGATGAACAAATCCAAAGAGAGGGGGAAGGAAAGAGAATGAAATCAAAGGAGAAGAGAAAAGAGAAACAAAAAGGGGAAGGCAAAGAAAAGAAAGTAGGAAAGTAAGAGAGAGAGTCCGAAGAAGACCTTGCAGCCATACTTACTCTGTTATATCCCCCTCGGGACATGATTTCAGCCAAGTTCTTCGCTGCATCATTCTTCTCTGCAACACTGAGTACACGCACCATTTTTGCTCTGTCTGTGGGTGTGCTGTCCTCCGCACTCCTGACAACTGCACCATGAATAAACCTGACCCCACAGCTCCTGACAGCTACCCACACCCTATCTGACCTAGCACAATTAACCTTGAGGACATGCTGAAATAAATTTCCCCTTACATGAAGAAAAGAGCCGCGTGAATCAACTGTGGTGTGTGTTTCTTTGTGATACAGATGTTTAGCTTTGTTGTGTCTAACAAAAGAAGGAATAAGTTTTCTGCAACAAACACGGGCAGGAGTGTTGAAACCTTCAGTAAACCATTGCACTGAAGGCTTGAGTAGACACGTAGTTAGGGATCTTCTTGTACTCAGAGCACCAGCTGGCAACATTCACAGAGCAACCTGT